ATTAAAGAAAGCGCATAATGCTATTTAGCTCCACTAGGGTCTCCAATCTATGTAGCGTTAATGTGTCATTAAATGATAGGTAAAATTAAATTGGTCATTTAATTCCATTTTTCGATTAACTTATCGCCTACCATCACATAGATTGAGATTATAATCCCATTGAGGATAAATAACATTATTTTAAGCTGAATTTCTGCAGTAAACTTGCATTACACTGATTCCTACATGTGAATAAGAAATCAATACATTCTGCATATCTTTAGATTAAAGGGACAGAATACTCGAAGCTAACACATGACAAAAATTTTATATTAGAACTTATGTGCATCCTCTCCACACACTCCACCGGAAAAGAAAAAGACAACCTTATTCAGTAAGCAATGCATTAACTTTGATAAACAAAACAAAGAATTCATCGTCATGGTCATGTGTGCGTGCATATTAACAGTCAACAGTTATAAACTATAACATCACCAAACAGTGTAAAACGTGCATTGCGTAGAACATGGACCCTTATTATTTGGCTATGATTAATTGATTATTGACAATTGACTAGCTTAATGAAAGATTTACGGTCATGCTTTTTTTTCTTCTAACAATTTTCTGCGATAATCATTTTCAAGAGCAGATTCAGAAAATGATGAAAGGATGTGTTAAAATTTTAAAAATTCAGAATGAGCTCACTCCACAAGAGATCGAGTTTAGGAGGCTACGAAGCTCAAAACACGGATAACAAAGAGTGTCAGACACTCAATGAAATACAAGTTTAGATTTTTACCGTTAGATGTTCCACTAGATCTCCATAGCTCTTTTAGAAAATTGACCCTCACCTTAAAAAATATTAACTGATAGAAATATGCATGAGTAAATGACATACATCCACCAATCAAAAACTAAGAAATACCTAAGTGCTTTTCCTTGTGTCAGTGTGTGCATCCTATTTCAGTGGGAACTATCAGCATTTTTCAAAGAATTTTGAGAACTAATTATTCTAAACAATTGAATGTTTTGGCCAAAAACATGTATTAAAAAATATATCACTACTAAACACATTCCACAGTGGATGAGGAAAGGAAAATATTGACCAAGAATTTCGAGGATCTAAAAGATTGGTTTTATTTCACGTTCATAATTGACGATATATATAAAATTTTACTTATATAATTATTAGTGAAACATGTATCAAATAAAAAATAATTTACTAATAAGCTATTCACCTATATAAATGTCAGGAATTTTTTTTTATATTGTTTTTTATAATTTGGAGTTTTAATTAAACTGATCAAAGAATGATGAAAAAGAAAAACCTACCTAATGAAGAAGAAGCCGATTAACCTTAAACTGATCGAACGTTCGGTATGCTCGAAACATGCCTCTTCTCACCAGACATCACTTGTACTTTCTTTGGAGGAAAGAGAACTGGAATAGTCGAGAGGACACAGTGGTAAATCAACTCTTATGTGGACCCTCTTTCGCATTATTGAACCTGTCGATGGACAAATATTGATTGATACTACCAATATCTCATCAATTGGAATGTACAATTTCCAATCAAGGTTGAGCATAATTCCACAGGATCTGAACATGTTTAAGGGGACAGTTCGAAGTAATTGAGATCCCCTTGAAGAGTATACATATGAACATATTTGGGAGGTGAATTTGGAACCATGCCTCACGTACAGGGCAGAAGCTCATAGGCCTCTACTAGGACAGACACAAGGGGCGAGGCTCGCGTGAATTTTTTTTAATGCAGGTCGGACCCATCGACTTGCCCTCTACAATGAGGGCCTGTAAGGCTCCTATATGAATAGTGTCCTATACTCATGGCATTATTCAGGTGGATTTGAGTTCGGCAAGAGGAACATAAATGTTTGTCTCTTATTTACAGTTTGCATTATTTTGATGAGTTGATGGAATTTCTTCTTTGTCCTAGGTTCTTGATAAGTGCCAGCTTGCCGCTTGGAGATGAGGTTTTCAAGAAGGAAGATAAGCTCGATTATTCAGGTTTTCCTCTTCCACCGATTAAAGCATTTCAATTTTTCTGATCCATATATTTTTTTCGACATTTTCTTAATCTTCCAATACAATTTCAGTGTCTGAGAACAGAGAGAATTGGAGTGTTGGTCAAAGGAAGTTAGTTTGTATTGGACGCATCCTACTAAGAGCAAGATTCTTGTTCTTGACATAGAAACAGATAATCTGATATTTGACATAGAAACAGATAATCTGATTCAACAAACTGCTAGGCAGCACTTTTACGACTCAACAACAATTGCAAACAGGATAACATTCGTGGTAGATAGTGACATGGTTCTAATATTTGACCATGGTATACATGATCTTATTAAACAAATAATTAGTCTCCTTGTGCTACTTGGAATTTTAAGCATTTCATCGTATGGTGCAGGGCTTGTTAAAGAATTCAAAAAGTTCTCACTTTTTGTTCAATTTGTTTTTTGAATATTTGTCACCTTATTGAATAGCTTCCAAATCCCAAGTTATATGCTAGTTAATAGATGTGAAACATAATCATAAAAAAGACAACATATTGAATCCATTTTAAGTTTTGGATGATATATATATATATATATATATTTTTTTTTTTTTTTAGTTCTTGTCGATTTTATTTTTTTTAATTTCTGTCATTTCCAATTTATCCAATTTATAGGGTGTTGTTTTCTAAAATAATGTTATTTTTTATGTTTAGTTAATAGAAATGAAACATAATCATAAAGAAATAACAGTGAAAGAAAATCAGCTATTGTCTGAGTCTATTCTAAGGTTTTGATTGATATTAAATGTTATTTGTCACTTTTTTTAATGTGTCACTTATTTTAAATTTTTGTCGATTTTATGAATTTTTGCCAAATTTTAATGCCACGGAAATAAAGATCATTTAATCTTAATGAAGCATGTATGTGTTTTTTGTTCATTTGAATTTCATATAACTGTCTCTCTTTTTTCCTTTTGCATAATTGAGATTATTTTAGTGGTGTAAAGTTCTTGCTGTCAAAGATTTGATTAGACTTTGTACACGAGCCATGCCCAAATTCTAATGATTGATCCAACTTGTTTGAGCCCATTCTTTTGAAAAAATATATTTTTTAGTAGTATTTTGATATTATTTTAATCACACACTCTTCAATAAAATAATATTTCACTCAAATCCAAAAAAATTTCTTATTTTTTAACCACATATTTTTCATTAATACAATATTAAAAAATTCATTCTTCCCCTCAAAAAATGGAGCTCAAACAAGGGCAAAGGATATGAAACTCATGTTATTAAACAAATCATTCAATAAATTTCCATTTTTCGAGTTGATCAAGAGATGACGTATTAAATTTTCCGCTGAGCCGGACAAATTAATCTGACATTTTGAGAATGAACCCTGCTCCCTGTCCCGGGTCAGGGACAGGTGCGCCATGTGGCGCCCCTGTCTTTCTCCCTGTCCCTGACCCGGGACAGGGAGAATTATTCTTTGAGAATTTGGTGCTTATTAGGTATGGAGTACGTTTAACATCTTGTTGGCTGAAAACGATGTGATGAGGGTCGAGGGGGCAGTCTAGACAGCTGTTAAGACGTAGGCCTATATTATAGGATAATTTGACATTGGAATATGCGAATATCAGGTTTAGCATCAGATTTTATACTTTGAAGTTAGTGGCCTAACTCAACATCATATTATTTTAAAAACAATAGAAAAACATTAGCTTGTAAATCACGCTGTCGGTACTTGACACAAATAATACACTTACGATAATGACATGCAACTGTTAAATCTGACATATTTTTCCATGTCTTTTGACAGAAAATTTATCAAGTCAGACAGTGTATTTTGCAAAAGAACTATCTAAAAGGGGGGGGGGGGGGGGGGGGAAAAAAAAAAAAAAAAAAAGAAGAAGAAGAAGAAGAAAAGATTTCTGGTTGAATTAATGGTGCCCAAACATAAATAATTATTTTCTTCAAGTTCTCTTTTATAGTAATCACTTGTTAGAAAAAAAAAAGGGGATAAAGAGAGAAGAGAAAAGAATGGAAGCTTGTGGAAAATAAGTTGATTTGAAGTATGCAGGGAACACATGGCGATGTGGCCAACTATATATTAGACAAAACTCATTCATTGATTTACGTTGGCTCCATATACGAAGATTTTACATAAATAAAACTAATCAATTTTTCATATATAAGAGATTATTGGGTCTTCACCTAGATTTAAGTGATGAAATGGAAAGGAAAGTGTGTCGTCAATGTACTAATAGGAGGAGATTCAAGCCTCCCCACTAGAGTAACGTATTGGAGAGAGATCGAGAAGAAGAAGACGTGAAGCGATAAACCTTGAGAGGTAGTACTTCTTCACCTAGGAAACGACGGAAAATAAGTTCTAGAAAGTAAGTTTCTCTTTTCAACCATCCCTAGGTGCCTCGAGACAAAACGTCATCCTTTGAAAGAATATATGAAATACGATCTATTAGACAATACAATATTAAAGAATTTTTAACTTCTTTTTTTCAATACTATCTAGTGCTAAGACTACAAGCGTACATACTTTATTAAGTCAAAATTATATTTAAATGAATATTTTATTCAAATATGCACAATATTATCGAAGAACTATCTTTTCGAAAAATGAAAATTTCTCTTTCAAAATATTTCTGATTTTTGTGGAAACCTTTTTTCAAGTGAAATAGCAGCTGAAAGAATTATAAAAGAAAATGATCTTAGTAGGTAGATTTTGGGTGAACAAATCATTTATAGAGTGCTTCCATGTTGGTGGATATTACTGGATTTCTGCCAAAGAAATACTAAGAAATCAAAATACTTTGAAAAAAAATAAAAATAAAATTGAAACATATATATGGTCCTTCGCACAAACAGCGTGAGTGAACAACACAACAAACTCAGCATTGTTCACTTCGTTTGATTCGCTGCAAAATCTCTCATGTATATGTTCGATGTAGATTAAAATCTTTAATTACACATTTCATGAAACCCACAATTTTCAACCATATATTCCATCAATTTTCATTAAAATTTATTAAAAATCTGATTATATTCTATACCAAACACGAGCTAAATGATCAAAGCTATCAAGTTCTTAAGAACCAAACTGCGGGACAATGAATCTAAACATACAGAATTTCAAAATGTTTGCATAATTGCACAAATTAAAATCTCAAGCAAAGAACTCTGTGAACTTGCCTTCAAATTTTCAATCCAAATCCACTAAGCTTGTGTTCAGTAATTTGATCAAGTCTCTTCACCATCTCAGGGGACAGGAATTTCGTCCAATCTCCAATCTCACCTCGACGAAAGTATACCTTACTTTCTTGACCATATATTAACTTGCCTGTCTTGTAGATTTCGAGGTTGCTTAAATTATTAAAGCTACACAACTTCAAGATATCCTCTACCATCCCTGATTCTTCTTCCTCGGCAGAAAATGGACATCCCAAAAATTCGGCCAGGCGTTTTATATGAACAGAAGACTCTTCTTTCATATTCTCGTACGTCAAAAAGAGAATCCTATCAGAATTTTTCTTGCTTTCATTCCAATAATCTAAAATATGGTCCCAAAAGGGTCCATATGGGCTCACCCCTTTATAAAACATGTCAAAAGCTTCATCAAGTGAACAGCTTCCCATCTTCTCGACCCTTAATTTGTTTATGAAATGCCAAAGGGACACAAAAGTATCCTTAGGGTTCCTGCAAAGATAAACAAGCTTGCTTGCAGAATTATGCACTGATTTTGGCAAGGAAAAATAGGGTAAATGAGTGGCAAAAAGTCTAGGAGAGGGAATGGAGGACGGATCAGGGATTTGATCATGCAAGTAGAGATCGAATTCAAAGCATGGTATGAGTTCATGAGGATTCTTGCTGAATAAAGGATGATTTTCCTTGATAACATATTTCTTTCGGTTCACTAAAGTGAACATAATAGCCTTTAACCAGATGGTGCCTGATTTGGGATATGTAACAAGAATACCAGAACCCTTCATATTTGTACTGATAATAGGAAATCCATCCTTTTTCTTTAGGTAGAGAGGAGATTAAGCTCTTACATTCTTGGGCCAATACTTCTTCTTCATGTAAATCCATTGGTGGCAATAAAGAATTTTTGGCAGTCATTTTTCTCTGGTGGAAACTTTGAAAATAGTCTAGCTTTCTCATATGTATTGTTACTATCTTATAGACGTAAATCATGAGTTTTCATTAATTGTACCTGTTTCGCGCGGGTTAGTCGCTAACAATTAAAAGGGATCAGACGATTGTGTAAGGGACAAACCTCTTGAGACAAAGTCCCAAAAAGGGGTGTTCTTTTATTGGCGATGACTTTACAATTGGAAATAAAAAACAAAATGCCTCCAAGGGGTGCAAGCACACGAGTTACTGAAAAAAGTGTTTAAATCTAAATTAAGGAAATTAAAATTACATGTTCTCTGTTCGAGAGTTTTTGATTCGGTCCTTTGTTCTATGTCTTTTCTCCTTTTTATACTCCATGGATGATCTTTTTTGTGATCAACCACCTTAAAACTGCTTGATCGTTCTACAACTGCCCACTTTCCTCATAATGGCCAGCTTGTCATGAAAACTGCATTTTTAACTGCTGCCATTATTTTTCGTCGTTCAACCGTTTTCGATTGAATTCCTTGAATCGTGGAACGTGATAAGGCTGCTTTAATAACTGCATTGATAACTGCACTTCTTGATAACCACAACGCTTTATGTTTGTTAAGATCTTGGGCGACTTGAAGGTTTGGGCGAGAATAGAGTAACAGCTCTGGGCAACTGCATGGCACTCTATTCGCTCAGATTCTGGGCGACTTGCAAACTTGGGCGATGGCGTTACCGCGTTCTTGGGCCTCTCTATTTGGGCCTTCATCTTAAATTGTTTGATTGGGCTTCGTTCTTTGGGTTATCTGATTTGGGGATCCTCTAATTAGGCTTTATTCCTTGGACCGTTCGATTTGGACTGAATTTTTATATGTCAACAATTACCCCCCAATATGGCAGAATTAATAATAATTATTAAATTTTGCCATATTCACTTTGTGTTTCCAGCAACATTCGAGATTTCCAAGAATTTCAATCATTGTTTTCTTTCATAACTTAAAAAGGTGCGTCGTTTTGCAAACCCTTATAACCCCCAAACACGCCATTTCACTGCACCATTAAATCAAGCCTCAAATTTTTCGCGTCTCTCCCACGATTTACTATCATCTTTTGCTTTCCTGCTACGTAACTCTGAAAAACTTCGTTCCATCTCAAATGGCTACTTCACAATCTCAAGCTGGCGACTCCTTTAGTTTTGATGACTTTCAGAAACTTCTGAGTCGTCCATACATAACTCTGAGTTTTCTCGCGCCAGCCGATGTCGAACGCAATAAGTTCTACTTAGGTCCTTTCTTCAACAATGCAGAGGCAGTTGAACAGGCGGCGGTGGGTCAGCTGTTTCCTTGTACTCAAGGCCTTCCATTTCTAAACTCTCTGCCGCTGGGGCCACTTCGCGAAAGAGGTATTCGCACTTAGCCTAAATCTGATGTAGCTTTCCGTAGGTGGCATGCTCGTCTTGTGGGCCATGGTCCTACTAAGGTACTTTTTGATAATGCTAGGATTTCTGATTTGTTAGAAATCTCTATTCGCCCCCCTACTTTTGATTCAGCACTTTTTTCGATTGCTTTGAGTTTTTAGTCTTCTGAGTATAATACCTTTATTTTCCCTCTTGGCCCCATCTCTATTACTTTAAGGGATGTTGGGGCCCTAGTGAATCTACCACCTTTGGGCGATACCATTTTTCCTGGTATCTTGGTTTCTGGTGGCGCCCCAAAATTTGGTAAAAACTACACCGACTCTTATTCAAGCCTGCAAACCCTTCACAATCATTCGAGCGCTGAGCCTTCCCATACTGCGCGAGTGGCCTTTCTTCTAGTTTGGCTTTGTAAATATGTTTTGTGTGTGCCAAGCATAAAGCCCTCCCTGAGTTATTTACCCATAGCGTACGAATTGGCGCCTGGTAGGTCTTTGAATTTATGTTCTTTCTTTTTGGCTGGCCTTTATAGAGGCATGGCGTCTCTTCAAACTCGACTGAAGAATGGTGCATCTTCCACTGGCAGTGGACCTCTTTGGTTCACTCAACTGTGGTTGAGATCCTATTTTCCATTGCTTGGTACTCCATCAATTTCTCGTTCCTCTGCTAGCTGCTATGGGCTAGCCATTGAGCCCTTGGCTCGTGTAAATATGTCCAGAAGGGACATTTTTTCATTCTTTTATTCTTTGGATTCAATCTATTCATTTTTTCCTTTTCCTCCTTTTTTGACTCCAAACTATGTACATCCCCTCTCCACTATAGACAACGCGAGCACCTCCCTGCTTATTTGGATCTAGTTTTTAACTGGGAGGGAGCTATTTCATGATATTTTAATTGGGACCAATGCCAAGGCAGGGGTAGAAATTTATGCTTCCCAATTTTTTGCTCGCCAGCTTGGTTTCGGCCAAACTTGGCCTGTTCCTCCTTGCTATTCAAGGAACTTAATTGACCGTTTTCATATTATTAATAAGGCGGAGGCAGAGGCTATAAATGCTCGCAATCTTCTCTTAACAAGCTATTTTTCATTAGCCCCCTTCAATTCTAGCCATGCCATTCATTCTCTTTTTGAACAGCTCTGGCCGTCAGTGAAGCGCATATTATTTGCGACTGATGCCAATCGTGCCTTTCATTCACTAGACCAGCCGAATATTTCTTCCCCTCCTCCTGTTTTAGTCACTCCTTTGTCCATCCGGAGTCCTTCTCCTCCTCGTAGCGCTAAACAGTCTGCTCGTCCATCTTCTTCTCTCCCTGCCAAGCCTACTACAGCCAAGAGTGCCCCAAGTCGCAAATGGCCAGCCTCAGCATCTCCCATTCTGGAGGATGATGTTGATGATGATGATGATACCCCTCTTATCATCAGGAGGAAGGTAATTAAATTGGTTTACTCACAAGCATACTTTTCCATACTTGGAACTTTTCTGTGTGCTGATGATTTTTTGGACTTCTCAGAAAAGTTCAGCCTCTCCTTCAAAGGCTTTGGCATCGATAGCTCCTGCTCCATCATCCTCTGTTGAGGCTGCTTCATCCAAACCGGTTGATGAGGGGACTACGCTTAAAGAGACATCTTCAGTCCCAGAATCCTCATCACAACCCATGGATGAGCCACCTTCTTCCCAGGGCGTCAACCCCCCAAACATCGAAGCAGAAGGTAATTCAGTTTTTTTATGCCTTACCTTTGCTTGTGCTATTGGTTTCTGATTTGTTGCTCTTGAGTTCTGCAGATACTCCTATGAGTCTGCCCGTTGTGGCAACATCTTCTCGCTCAGACAAGGGGAAGTCCTCACGAATGGAGGAGTCACTGGTGGTAGATTTGGCTGAGGATATGCCATCTTCCACGATTGTTGATGAGGTAATCTTTGCTTCAATTTTATTTCCATTTTGTTCGTTGTAGTGAGAATCTTCAATATTGACAATTTTCTTTGCAGGATGCTGACAAGATTGTGCGTTCTATCCAAGACTTGTTCGCTTCCTGGGGGCAAGTCAAGACATCTCGCCCTGCTCCATCTAATCGTCCTGCTACTTCTTCAGAGGAAGATTTGAAGTTTCTCAAGCAGTCGATATTTGAGTACGTGTCCTTCATGGATATGGACATTGGTAGGGCTAGTGCTGCCAGACACAAGGATAAACTTGAGCATTTGAATGCGAAGTTGGAGCAAGCTTTGACGCTTCCGTCGCTCAATCTTTCTGCCGATTTTAAAGTGACATTGAAGGTTATCCACTCCGAGGTCCTTTCCTTGCTAGCCAAGAATGCTGAACTAAAGGCCAAAAGTACTCAATATCTTCGCGCCGTATCAGAAAAAGAGTCTCTGCGTCTGGAGATCAACAAGGCTGAGGATGAGTTGAAAGAGATCTCTTCCGAAGTCATGATTGAAGACTCTTTGATGGTTAGTTTGGCTGCTCAGATGAAGGAACTTCAAGCCAAAATGGATGACTGCAAGGCGAGAATGGCTGCTAAAAAGTGTAACGCCTCCCAGGGAATTGAGCGAACTAAGTCCTTGGTTGAGCAGTACAAGGAGTTGGAAGTTGATGATGATGTCGTGGCCGAATTGAACATCACTTTCTCTCGGCAGAACGAGGATTGGGAAAAACTTAGGGAACGAATTCGTTCAGTGTGGGGTGGACTGTAATTAAGACATACGATGACTTTTTCTTTTCTAATTTGATTTTCCCTTTGTAACTTTGTTCATCATTAATGAACATATATGTTAACTTCTTGTGCATTTATTTAGCGTTTGTTTTTTAATCGTCAATTCTTCAAGCATTTAACTGCTTTGTGCTAAAAAATCTTGCCCATTTTTTTATACTTCCACCACTTTTCCCAAGACTTTGGGCTATTTAATTCCATTTACTAGGCAGAATGTGGCTGCTCATATTCTGTCTCTTCATCTCCACCCCCCTATAATGCACGTATGCTTCGTATTTTCCATCTTCCATCTTCATCTTCATCTTCATTTTTTTCTTCGAAACCAATTTGCTGCCATTTTTTGGCACTCTGACAATCAATCCGATCCGAAACTTTCGTCTTTCTATAAAAATGGATTGTTTAGTCCTCCCATTTTACTATTTGCCTTGATGTCACTTTTGGTGTGGGAGGTATAGGAAATATTTTTTGGCCAGCAGCAAAGTTTTTACCATCGAAGTTCTTCCCATCGTCTCTTTGTCCTTTAAAAGGAGTCGATGATAGAAGGCAATTTGTGGGATGCTTGCCGGCCACCTTGCTTGCTGAGAGTGCTTCCCAGCCTCTTTGCCCGTTATTGCAGCGATGCATTTAGAAAGGTGGTAAGGCCAGTCCACCCTCTTACTCGACGATCCCACCATTGTAGCGATGCATTTAGGAAGGCGGTGTGAGGCTAGTCCACCCTCTGACTCAGCGATCAACCGGGAGATTAGCTTACTTTTAATTGTAGTTTGTAGAGCATCTATTATTTGTATTTTCGCATCTTTGTAATGAACGTTTGATAATAAAGGACTTTATTTGAACGTATTTTGCTCTGACCTTGTTATCCTTAATCGTTCAACATCTTTTGACTATGCTTTTATCTGTTCACATTTCCATAAAGAGGGAACATATTTTTTCAAATATTTGCCGTTAATGA